ACCAAAAATCTAAGTATGGCAGAGTGTTGAGCGCCCGCGGAAACAAGCTTTCGTAGTTCCCCTCCCTCCAACTGTTGCTGGAGTAGGCATCGGCGATGAGGGGAACCATGGTGACTCCCAAATATGGGGTGTGTGCTTGCTCCTTTCGTTGGGTCTCATCTAGCGGCTGCAACTAGGGTTTTTTATGTCTAAGTTGATTGAGATTTTCTTAAAATTCAAATCAACCCAGAAAAGAAAATGCAATTTTAATTCGGTGAAAAATGTAACTTGCAATTTTCCATACACATTTTTCCTAGAAAATTGTAACGTGCGCTTTTTACTAAACCAAAGTGCCACTTTTGAAAGTTGATTGGGACTATACAAAAATCTCATTTGTCTCATAATTAGGAAAACCGTTACACATATTCACCCATGTAATTGCTTCTCGTTAAATATGAAAAATAACTTAGTTCTTCTGATCTCCTTTACATATTAATACCCATGCACCATTAGTTATCATCAATATTGTTAAGGACTAATTGGCTATGGTTAATTAGCGATAATTCATGTCTTCCCTCTAACCCTCGATGGTCACAATTTAGACCCGACAAGTCTACGAAGTGCCTTTTGAATTCAACGAACAAGTCAGAACGATTCTCTTATAGATAAAATACACAAGAAACAAGGTTGTGGCTGGTGACAAATATGATGGACAAGTCAAGATATGTGCTTTTTCCTTGTTGTTCTAGTGGATCTGACTACATGATAGTGATTGACGGGTGTATCCACTTAAGTACAACTTCAACACGTTGCATCAAAACATCAAAATGGAAACCCTAAATGTCTGCGGGCACGTCTGGACGTGTACATGGAGAGTGCTAGGAGGGAAGGTCATCCAACCGTGGTCACAAAATCCAGAGTGGGCTAGGTGAACCTAAAGAAAAAAAATATGTGCTCTGGTGACACGTGGTCCAACTAAAAGTGGGTTGGGCAGACGTTCGGACTCCCCCAAACCTCCCCAAAGTTTGATACCGATTTGTGGGACTCCCCCTACACCAGCTATAGCTTTTCCTTTCTCCCCTTTGATGAGGAGGCAATCTTTTTGCTACTTCCCGCTAAATCTCAACTGCATTAATCCTCTCATTGTTAAGCAACCATGCATGAAGGGGATTGAGGAGTGTACAGGGGCTTACCAATTGTAGTCGCTCTGATGAAACTATATGCTTCGAATTTGAAATATGTTGCCCAAATCATTACTCATAATTAAATATCAACAGCATCCATTCAAATATCATGACACTGATGTAAGCTTGGTAGAGAAAAAAGGAATGTGCTATATTAGCATTGAAGTGTTGAAGACAAAAGGAGCTTGACTCCTTGGCTTTTCAACATTTTTTTTCTTGACCGGACGGTTTTTCATTTACTTGTTCACCCACTTCACACGATAGGAGTGTGCTACTCATACACTGAGATATTGGCAAAGGAAAAAAAAGGCAACAAACTTGTAATAAGCAATCATGCAACAAATTCATATAATGACTACACAGTTTGTGTGTGGCTTCACCGCTGCCTACATAGGATGAATTCAAAAGCAAAAGTGAGTTGTAGGTACACCAAGTCATATATATCGTTTGCAAGAAAATGAATGTGACTGTGGCAACTTGTATCGGTTTTTGCAGAATGAATTAAAAGTTTCATTCCCATCAAAAAATAAAGAATGAAAAGTATCGTCTTTAAGGGCAACACATGGAAATACGACCACTGAACCCTAGTTTGGCAGGCTGGGTTGGCCAGGAATTCCAGAGATCGTCATCTTCTCCAAACCCAAAAGTACCCACATTATTTCATACACCTAGCTGACCTGGGCGACGAATAATGCAAAGAGCGAACCAGATTTGAGCCGGCCCATTAGCTAGCTCGGTGCTATATCAATCCTGGTTTTTGTAACCTGGAAGGTCTTGTTCAGCTTTTTACTGGTTTTGGGAACCTTTTAGAAGGTTTTAATCTATTTGTTCTATTTTATGTTGTTTCCTTCAAAAAAAAATTATTTTTCCCTATTTTTTGCAAAAAAATGTTCCTGAAATTTAAAGTTTTTCACATTTCAAGAACTTTGTTGATTTTTTTTTAGAATTGTTCGTGTTTCTCGAATTTTGTTCTCATTATTTCAATATGTAAGAAATGTTTGGAATTTTCAAATTTTGGTCGACTTTTTAAGTGTATAAAGGATCACTTTTCATATAAATATTCATTTTAATAATTTTAAAAATTCCAAAAAAATATTCGTATTTTCAATAAAAATTAATCCCATTTTATTATTAAATAAATGTTTTCCGATTTTCAAACAAAATGGTTTTAGGAAACGTGTCTCTAAGAAATTTCAAAAGAAATTTAGGATTTCAGAAAATGTTCTCGATTTTTTAAAAAAATATTTGTTTTCTATAGGACCAGAATAGAAAAACTAATTAAACCAACAAAACAGAGCAAATGTTTAAAACCAATAAAACGACAGGGGGGAATGGCAGTACGTTATTTTTCTTGTACCGTGGCCTGAAATGGGCCGGCCCAGTCGGACCTCCCTGCTCAGAAAAAAAAAGATTTCGTCCTGCGCCGCGCCGCCGCCGCCGCCGCCTTGAGGACGCCGGCGTGCTCTTCTTCCCCTGGCTAGCTGAGCTGGCCTTCTCTCCGGAGGTACTTGGACGACGCCCTGGCCTACCCACCACCACGCTTGTTTTTCCTTTTGTTGCGACGGCGCCCTGGCGTGCTTGAATCCTTTTATCTTGGGCTGCACTTTGATTTCCAGAAGAAGAAGAAAAAGAAAATACTGTTGCTGTTGCAAGTTGTCGCCATCCCTACCTAGCTACTCCCTCCGTTCCGAATTACTTGTCTTGGATTTGTCTAGATACGGATGTATCTAGACTCATTTTAGTGCTAGATACCTCCGTATCTAGACAAATTTAAGACAAGTAATTCGGAATGGAGGGAGTACCTTATAGAAGGTTAATACGTACTTGGATTTTCACATCGTCCAGCTAAAAGTTAACAAAAAGAAGCTATGAGGGCTCCTGGTCATGCTAACAAGGTAACTCCAATGGCACAACTGTCATCAGATATTGTTATCCTGATGCTTAGGTTGCACACTGGTGTCATTGGCCCTAAACAACTATATTTTCTGCTCTAATTGGAACTGCGAACTGGTATATCAGTATGTATCCACAACTACATTAACAAACATTTTTGCAGGTGAAAAATGTGACGAACCATGTGATTGACGGCAAGCGGGGCATGATCTACATTGCAGACCAGAAGGTTTGTGTCTGATTTTTTTTTATTAACAGTTGTGAAGTTTAAATTTTGACCTATCTGTATACTAATCCGCTTCATGTTTTCTTTTACTGAAGATTTCAAAATTGACCTTGACAAGCGACATAAAGGGTCTGAAGCGGGTGCGCCGTGACGCCAGGAAAAACAAGGGGCGTTCGAAGAAGCAAAAGGTCAACCCTGAGTGAATAATAGTGTCGAACATATTTTGTTTTTCATCATCAATATCATTGATGCTTGTTCCAGATTATTATAAGTCTGCATTGCAGTATGGAGTCAGCTAGGTAGTTTTGTTTGTATCAATTTTTAGATATAATAGTGTCATTGGCCTTGGTCACCATAACAATGTCCATATTCTTCAGCTTCAATCACGTACCGTAGGTCTTCATCATCTATCAAAATGAAGTTTCACTGTGCTTGTTTCAGAGTTGATGTGACAAGTCAGCTAAATAACGTTCTGTATAGATCTAAACGCTAACGGAGCTACAACTTCAATTCTTTTAACTTCATGTTTCTTTAACTAGATTTGTGTTGTGTACTGTTTTCCATATCTGCTGTGGTAAATCATCGATCTTCCAGTTCTCTAAGAGTCCACTCAGTACAGATTTCCATCACTGCCAGCCGCTAACATTAACTCTGTTTCAACACTTTATTTTCAGCTGAGGAAGAAGAAGAAGAAGAAGCTTGCTCACAAGAATGCAAAATGAAGGCAGAGTGATAGCAATGAAGCCGCTAACATTAACTCTGTTTCTGTTGATCAACGCAGCAGCTAAATTTTGGCAGATGTTGCTTTGCTCCCTGCCAATCACAGTAGACACATCAGTGTAGTCCAACTGGCAGTCTGCACAACCCTTAGGCTATGGATATACACATATGTACACCTGACAACTTCTGTCATAAAAAGAAGAAATGGTAATTCATAAACTGATCGAACTGAAATGTCATGGGTGACTACACCGACTCATCTAGCTAGATACAGTAGAGCAGATTTAGTCATGGCTAAACCAGAGGAATCCACAAGCCCACATCGAGAAACAATCAGTTGTACAATCAAATCAACCGCAACATCAAATTGCAGCAAGTTGATTCTTGTCTAGAAACTACAACAAGTGGCATTCTGATGGAACAGTTTCAGAAGCCACTTCACATGCACTCTAAGCATCTAAACATACACTGCTAGAAGAAAAACAAGTATAGACACAATGACAGACATAAGCATTCCCCCGTTACTTGGTTCCCAACTCTAGGGCCATCCATCTCTCTCTGAACAAAAAAACCCAGGGCCATCTTGTTTGATTCTTCATTATCAAAATCAACTTACTATGAAAGAATTGCCTGACGCTATCAGTTCAAATAATGTTCATAACTCGCCCTGGCATGCGGAAGGAGAGGTCTGTCCATCACTAAACACCTTAACAGAGCAGAGCGTTCCTCCAGCTTCATCCGCGAACGTTATCTTCCTACGTTTCCTCGGCACTTGTGGATGTGGAACAGCCTTCTTTCCCTCCAGCGTCTATAATTAGGATTTTAGTAGTGGTGAGCGGTGACACAAATGCAAGCTGAGAGTTCAGAGAACACTGCAGTACTATTAAACAAGCTTAAAAGCAGGAATACCAACCAATATTTTGCAAAAGCGGTTGCAATCCTTGTTCATTATAGACAACCATTTCCTTGTAGTTCTCTCGACATCTAATGCATCCTTGGATGCTGCTCTCATCTGTGAATGATAATCATAAGATATCAGTCAAGTATCTGACCAGATTGCTGTGAACTTCAAACAGCTCCTAATTCATGATCTGACAATATCTTAAGCTCTGGTAAGCCTAAACAAGTCCCGCCTAATTCCAAGGAAAGAAGGTAGACTTGCACTAATTAATGCACAGACAGGACAAAGCACATTTAAGTACACCAATAATTAATAAGGCATGTGATATTTTCAGTCCCAACAGATGGTTTACATCACAACCGCAAATGTAAATCAATAGTAATTCTGCTGTACAACAAGAAACTAACTTTGAACAAATCATAGCATCATCATAGTACTAGTAATGGAAGGAGCTTTAGCTTTATATTATGTGATATAAATAGAAGCAACTAACAGAAACAAAATTAGAGAAACGCAGAAAGACAAATCTGAAATGCAACTTTTTGTGCTCCAAAGCCAATATATGATGTAACTTCATTGAGCAACAATATTATCTACTTATTTTGTTGGATCATCAGTCGGTTGCACAGCAGTAAAATCAAATGAGTTCACAAGTATCTAGTACAATTAATAATGTCTCACCTCGGCAGTGTTAAAACTGGGAAGCAAAGAATGTGATTCCGATGACAAATTTGCGTCCACTAAACTTCTCATGTGCTTCAAGCTCCTGATAAGATTTGCTGCAATGTTCTCTATATCATGCATCTGCCTTTGTGAAAACTCAACAGCTTTCTCAGTGTCCAAAAGAACAGATGGACTTGTCATCTGAGGAGATGGAGATTCTGTTGACTTGACATCTCCTTTGCTTGTGGAGATAGAAGTTCTGCTCTTAAGTTTGCTGTCTGTGGTTAACATAGATTGGTCTTCAAGATTAATCTTTCTCTCTGAAAACAGCAATGGTAACATGAACAATAAGAAATACTATAAAATTAACTACTCTGCTAAAAAAACACTGCAGATAGCATAGATTGCTTACTCGTCCTTTGGACTCCACACAAATCGATATCAGCCCAAGCATTGCAAAACTTCTCCTGACAAGCTGGCGACATAGTCTGAAAAAAAAGGGTAGTGTAAAAGATGAGAAACTCGTTCACAACTATTCTTTGAAACATGATTAAAAGAGCTCTGCAGACCTTTCTCTTGGACAACAGTTTTTTTGGAGTATGAACTTCAATTGATCCTTCATCAATGGAAAAATCAGACGCCCTAGTTTGCGCATGAGTTCCCAGGCAGGATGGAGTTGAAATTGAAGCTTCAGCAGAAATTTCCTGTGTTTCTTCAAGATTAGAGGAGCTATCTGATATTGCACATCCAATTTTGCCCATGTTAACACAAGCCTGGGATAACTCTTGTTGAACAACATATGCTTCTCTTGATTCTTGATCATTAACAGATCTACAAATGTCAACATTCATTGTACCACTTAGCTGATTCATATCCTTTGATGACTCATCCATGTTGGCGAGTAAGATGTGACCATCATGTGAAACATCTGCTACAGTTGGTGGGCTCAGAACCACAACAGTATCTGGAACTACAACAGAAGTTTTTGTTTCAAAACAATTCCGCTGCACATGATTATTCAGAGCATCATAAACTATATTTTCTAGCCGCCCATCTTGGGCGTCAAAATGGGCAGTATGAGCCAAATCAAGAGTTTTGTCATAAGCGAAATTGTAGCCTGTGGCTGCTTGCTCAACATTCATATGCAGTAATATATCCTTTGTTTTCACATCATGGCAGACCAGTGAATCTGATTGACCCTCCACCGGCATCTGCACAACCTCCTCAAGTGAAGTACAAATCTTGTCTGTGCTTCCACATGAATCAGGTTGCATGACTACCAATGTGCGCCTCATATATGTTTTAAACTCATAAATTGGAGAAGACTCTTCCACAGGTTTTATGCTTTCTGATGTATTGACTTGAACAACTTCTGGATACCTGTATTCATTGTTATCTGTCTGATCTTCACAAGAACGATTAACAGAAGACAACAGAAGTTCATTCCCAGCAGAAGACTTATTCACATCTGAATTACTTGTATCATCCAATGATTTATGATGGTTGCACACTTCATCAATGGGATCAAGTGAAGAAAAATTGTGATCCATCTTTTTTTGTTCCACATTGTCATGCAAATGCACTTCAGCGTCAGAAACATCCTGTTCAATTGCTTGGGTGATGGAACCAGGCTGCTGTCCACATCCATTATCTTCTATGGGAAACTGATGCAGCACAACAGATAAATGGTCACGGGTGTGAAACACTGTATTTTCCATTTCGGCACAGCAGATGTCCTCCCCAGGTATTTCTTCATTATGTTCTGCCAGTACAGAAAAAAAATTGTAAGTTTTGATGCAAAAAGGATCCTCAAAAAGGTTTGCTTCAAGAAAAAAGTAATGGCTGAAAGACAGAAGTCATGTGGATTGATCTTCGATATTGAGATAACAAAGAACTGGAATATAAGGATTTTATTTTTGCTTGGGTAACAATACCCACCAATGGCAATTGTGCAGTGCTCTTGATCTACAGCTCTTGTTTCAAGCTTCACTGTCACTGGGTCATGGAGTGTTGACTCAAATAGGAAAGTTTGCACAGGACTGACTTCATCGCCCTTTGGTGATGTATCAACTGGTTTTGTAGCATGTGGAGAAGATGATGCATTCATCTTTCTGTTTGCTTTACAAGGTGGTATCTTTCCTTTGTTCTGTTTCAAAGCAATAAGAGGCTCATCAAGATCAACTTCCACATCTGATCTTTCATCCCCAAAATCCCCACACTGAGATTGATTCTTGGTGCCAGATTCTTCAGAAATAGTTTTTGGAGCCTTCTTATTCTTAGGTTTACGCCGAGCTCTGAGATCCTTGAGTTCTGAGGGTGAAGTTAAGGCAAATTCTTCAGAATCAATCATCTCGGTCTTGACAGGCTTTAAACTGGTGAAATCCACTTCATAACTATCGCTGTATATATCACTTAATACACGGGTCTTCTTGAATTTTGCAGGTCTTCTGAGGGTCGAATCTATTCTGTTAACCACGCAAGACATCGTGGCTAAATGACAGTCAACTGATTGAGCGCCTTATCTGTAGCAAAATCTATTCAGGGAAGCAATAAAAGGACCCCTGTAGACATTTAAAAAATAGGTGTTATAATCAAGTAAATGGTGCAGATAAGCATCAATATCTTCACTAGAAATGAAGCCATCTTTCAGAAACAGACACCATATTATAATATGGGATCCCTATATTCATGAAAGCATCTTCGAAGAATCACAATATGTGGCATTGCAATTAACTCGTGTATTCTTCATAACAGAGCAGAAGAAGAAAAAAGAGCTTGACACAAGATTAAAAAACAGAGCATATATACATATATATATATATATATATATATAAGTGAAATCTTTTAATAAACAACTGTGCTTCCAGTAGGGGGGATGGATGAAGAACATTGAACAGGCAATTTGTATAGAGACGGAAAAAAATTGCAGCCTTTTACTGACGAAAATCACATCCCTGTGGTCGTCAAGAGAGAAAACCCTCAAATTTGTCATCAATCTTCAAGTACGATATAATCAGTAATAAAATTAATAACGAATCCCTCAACAAGCCCTGGCTCAGAGCTAAGAACTGCGCCTCCAGCGCCTGCTGTCAGTCTATAACCCTCTCATCGGCCTAGAACGCTACTAGCTCACAAAAATTACAGCTTTACAAGAGTCCTGGCCATGGCAGATTCAACACAACCCACACACAGATCTGCTACGTAGTATTCATTTCATCAGCTCGGATACCGTATGCGGAAATAAACACAGATCTAGACCCTGCAGGTACCTGAAGCCGCCCCAGCCCCTGGTAAATCGAGGAAAAGCCGCGGGAAGGTCGGTGTCGAACTCAAAGAGGGCGACCGGCCGCTCCGTCCGGGGAGGCGCTGACCTTGAGGTTGAGGACGGAGGGGCTGAAGAAGGGCGGAGGGAGCGGCGGCGGCGAGCCCTGAAGCCGCCCTAGCCCCGGGTAAATCGAGGAAGAGCCGCGGCACGGCCGGCGTCGAACTCGAAGAGGGCGACCGCCCGCTCCGTCCGGGGAGGCGCCGGCCTTGAGGAGGGAGGGAAGGAGCGGCGGCGGCGGCGGGCGGGCAGAGATCTCGGTGCCGGAAGTGGAACCCTACTCTGCTTCTCGACTGTGGATATCGGCGTATGTATGAGGAGCGTGGAGAGGGGGAGGCGGCTTGGCGCGAAGGAGGGAAAGTTGGCGCCACGGTTGGCGTTGGTTGGCGGGAAGGGGAGCGAGATTTTGGGGTTGTAGCGGGACAGTGTTTGGGCTTTGGACTCGACTTTGGATCCGGGACAACGAGAGGACGAGGAGAGACGCGGCGTGGAGAACGACGGTATCTTCAAGTCGATCAACTTTACAAGAACATCCTTATGAAGATTAATAATTACAGATAGATCATTGGAGAATATATTTTTTGCATTGGAGAAACCGACGACGGCTCCCTCCTACGCTGGCCGGCATCGCGCCGTGAGCAAAATTCAATGGGCCCTCTGGATCTCCGAGACACCACCGCGGTAAGGGAAACGGTTTTGACACAACGTATGAAAGCCGTCGGTCGGAGCCAGAAGACGTCGACAACAACCACGAGAAGAATGCGACAAAGAGTATTGGACGACCACCCCAGATCTGGCCTGGCGGTTTCAGTGAGATCTAGGCACAGTTCTTTTGCCAGAATCTGGGGATTCTCCCAAAATCCGACCCCTACCCAGCTTCTCCCAGAATCTTTGAGCCCCATTTGTTTTACAATCCTATCTAGTTATGGTCTAATTAGATAGAATTGTAAAACAAATGGGGCTCAAAGATTCTGGGAGAAACTGGATAGGGGTCGGATTCTGGGATAATCCCCAGATTCTGGCAAAAGAACTGGGCCCTAACCTCACGGGCTCCCTAGTGATGCAGAAAACAGGTTGAACATCACCGGTCAAGTCGCAGAAGCAGAACGAGGCCCACGAAACGACGTCGTCTGCTCAGCCAAAAGACTTCGAAGTAGCCGCGTGACACGAAAACACAACCAGGTCCACCACTCCAGAAAAGCAGTGACCGAACAATCTCATACCCTCCTCTGCGATGTCGACGAGACCACCACCGACTAAGTGAACGAGGAGTTGGGAAAACCTTATTCTTAATCCACACGGCGCCGCCATCATCACTGCAATCTCGTCGCTGGGAAGCCAAACTCTAGCCCTGAGAGAGTCTAACTACAACACGCGCCACATATCATGGTCCCCCGTCCCACATTGGGAACGGGGCCCGCAACCACCACAAACGGAGTCGATGGTGGCACGGGCAAGGAGGGTGATGTGTTTACCCGGTTCATCAATTTGGAAATTGTTTGTCTTTTTTGAAGTTCACTCGGGATGATTGATTCTCCGGATAGAATTGCTGACCAATCAAAATCACAACAACCAAGCCGAGCTCCCATCTAGCTAAAACACGGGAATAGCAGTAGCTAGCAGCCTAGCGAAGAGGGAGTAACAAGCATATAACCACCACGACTGCGACATCATTAGCAATATAACACCATTTTTTGGCGAAAAACACCGCACATGACGTTAATTTTTCATATAAAACATTGACCGAGCGATAAACGCATTTCGGACACGATCATGACAATCTGGGCCCGCCTGACGTGGCAAGAATAAATGGTGTTGTCAAACGCCTGTTGAATTGGTTGCGGGGCCCACTAGTAAGCAGTCTCCTCCCTCCTTTTCTCTCTCTTTGATTAACTAGGTAGGGGAGTGTGCCTTGGCGCACATTGCCTAGTCCATCAACCATCATGCATGTTGGTCCAGCGTCCAAAACGATGGCAAATTCAAAATAACAAACTATGCATATAGATCACCAGGTTGCACATTTAATCATTCGGTAAAGTTTTTACACTCAAAGTTGCATGTTTAATCTCTCAGTTAAAGATCAAAATCATTAGTTGTAAACAATGTTTTTTGGGTACAGCCAGTAGTGGCATCTTAGAAGTAGTTACGCGGTTGTCTTCTAAGTTGCTACTAGTGGTTGTTCCAACTCTTTAAACATAACCATCTTTTCTTTTGTTGGTCATAGACTTTCATACCGTGAAATCAGCGAAACCGAAAACACATGGTATAGTTTGAAGCAAAGAAGCAACATAGGCATAGGTGGAGTAATAGTAGTAGATGCAGATGGATGTCGGTCTACTTATCTCGGACGTAATGCCTATATATTGATCATGTCGTTGTTATGCTCATTGAGAGAGATGCCTCTATGGATCAGCTGCTCAATACTAATTTGTTTACACACCGTTGCTATGCCAATGAGAGAGATGCCTCTAGCGAGCATTATGGTCCCCGAGTCCATTCACTCTATATTTACTAAAACCCTAAATATCCTTGTTGCAATTTATTTATTATTATTTTCTTTTACATTTTATTTATCTATCACTGTCAGAATTAATCTTTGCAATTAACGAGTACAAGGGGTTGACAACTCTCTTGCCCGCGTTGGGTGCAAGTATTTTGTTTGTGTGTGTGCATGTGTTGTTGATGTACAAAAAATTAGTATCACCTCGGATCGAAAAAATATATATATTCGACGGTGAACGGATAAAAAATCGGATAAACGCACCTTACTTTATTAGTAGGTATAGACATGTGTTGCAACCTAATCTTTAAGTATTGTTCTATTATGCAATGTGGTGTTCGGTTGCACTGTTTGGTTCAATTATACGGTGTGGTGTTTAGTTGCACTGTTTGGTTCAATTATGCAATATGATGTTCACTTGTTGGGGTATAATTTTGCATTGCTAATTAAGTAATTATACATGTGAAAAATAAATCAAATTTGATTGTACTAAATACATGAGAAATATATACAATTGCTATATTTTTTGGGTGTTAAACATGCACGTTGTGATTACCTGGCCTTTTCAACTTGAATTTGTTAGGTCGGCAATGTGTTTATTCTTCATTAACCTATTTTTATTCATAGAGTGTCAATTCATACTTAACCTGATTAATATTTACCTTATGTAATTACATGGTAACACTGGGAGACACTTAGATTTAACATCGAGGTTTGCTCAGGGTCCTTTGGGTAATATAACAGTATTGTGCAATTGCAATAAAATTTATAATATTTAGGTTTTAATCTTGCATGTAGGTCCCAGTGTCAATGGTTTAGACCCATTGTTCAACCCGTTTTGCATATGAGAAAATGATAATCCATGAATATCAGTCAAGTCAAGAAATCCAGGAAAGATTGTTAAGAGAAAAACTAATGAGGAAAAACAACAAATTCTTTGTGTGCGTAATGAAGAAGACATGATGGTATTAACTGGCTTACCTTATTTTTTTCCTTGCACACCATTTCAATATCTAGAAAATATATTTATAACTATCTTTGTTTTCAGTCCTTTGCAAAGCAGTTCACTAATGATTACATGTGGAACCACATATATGCTCAAGAAGTAAGGAATGTATTCATACAACACCCACGGTATAATATTAAAGTCTTCCTCAAAAGAGCGAAGGATTGGCTGGCTATCATCCACAGGCGTTGCCCTGAAGCAGGGTCACTGAAAACTACTAAAGCGGAAGGCGAATGTTAAGCCTTCGACATGTTGAAGGTCCTTGCAACTTTAGGGCAACGGTTGTGGATGATTGTCCTCCCATCCTTCATCCTCTTGAATAAGACTTCAATATTATATTGTGAGTGTTGTATGAATACCTTCCTTGCCTCTTGAGCATACATGTGGTTTTAGAGGTAATCATCCATGAACTACTTTAAAAAGGACTCAAAACAAATATACACATAAAATATATTTTCTAAATATTGAAATGGTATGCATGGGAAAAAGTTAAGGTAAGACAATTAGTACCGGAAAAATACACAGGAGCACCCGGGTGCTCCACCCCTGCACGAAAACTAAATAAAAAAATACCATGAAAATTCAAAAAAAAATCTGAAATCTTGGGATCTCAAACTTGGATACCCAATCTACTCCCGTATGAAGTCTCATAGAAAA